GCATGCCAATTTCAGATAGAAATTCTTTTATTTTTTTGTTTTCCGAAAATGATGTGCGCAAATTGAAAAGCTTTCTAATCGCTTTTCCGCCAAACGAACACGGAGCGTTTTTCCTGCTTTCCTATTGCAGTTTGCGTCTTGGCAGCGCCTTGACATCGTCGTCGCTTTTTATATTCGATATAACCGATCCGTACACATATAGTATATAAATATATATAGTATATAGATATATATCTATTCGAGACGATGTATCCATAGGACGTGGAGGTGTGTGTGCTTTTTATTGTGACAAATATTTGGCCAGCTTTCTTCTCACAACGCAACAGCGACTGAGATTTTTGCGTTGTGCGATTTTTCTTTTGGAAAATGAGTATACAAATTTTCGCATATTTGTACAGTGAGATAACGAAAAGAAAGAAATTCAAAAAAGTTGACAACTTGTTGTTGCCAATGTGTAACTTTTGGTATTTGTATGCAGAAAATAAAAAGAAATTGTTTAAAAAATAACTAAATAATTGTTAAATTACAACAACAACGGTATTATGGCATTGACCATGAACATGGTGTTCCTCAAGGATTTACGTTCGCGCCTCAAGGGATTCATGCACGTATGTATTTTTTAAGGATGTGTTTTAGGGTTTTATATTTTACAATATGATATGATTTGAAACTGTTTACATTATTTCCTTAAAATTAATTTTCCTTGACTAAGATTCACACCTTCTACTAAAGATTTCCTGCTTTAAATTGAAAAAGAAAAAAAAAACTACCCCTTAAAGTTCAGGAAACAAAAACACACACATTCCTCAAACAAGCTATGGTTGGTAGTAATTGCCACAATTACAACCGCCGTTAAGCTTGGGTTAATTAGCTCATTAAGAAGGCAAAGAAGCTGATAAGTAAGTCGAAAAGTCTCAACAGAAATGTGCAGCGTTCTCAGTGTCTTTACCCTTGTTTTTCTCTCTCTCTCTCTCTCTCTCTCTTTGATTTTCGGCCCACACCAAAAAAGAAATTGATAAATTTTTAAACAATTTATTGAAGTTTTCTGACACCTCCCCGGATTTCCTCTTGCTCCTCCTCGGGTCTCCATTTCCATTCCCTTTTGTGGCAATATGATGCACTTTTGTGCAACTTTCTCAGGCAACGTTGGGGCTTTATATATCGCGCCTTTGTCTCGGTAATGCAACCGACACACCACACCGAATCCCGACGAATAATGAACATGTCGCTATATATCGCATATTATGCTGATTATTCAAGTATGTTGTGTCAGTTTTTTTTTTTGTTTTTCTTTTTTACCATAACTCCGCTATGCTGGGCTTGCATTTTCCTTCCTTCGCCTTTCTGTAATCACGTTATGCAATCTCATTTGGCTTTATTATGGGTTATCAACAAACATCAAGATGTTTTCAAGAATGTGCCGCTAAAAATTCACATGCGAAATAACATTTCCCAGGCAATATTAGTTGCACTGCAACAAATTATATAGAATAAAATGGTTAAATAAATATCCAAAAAATCGAGAAAGAAAACTAATTTCGGAAAGCCCAAGTTTATATACTCCTGAATGATAATAGTATAGAATTGAAAATGTAATATAACTTAGCATAGTTAAGCTTCTTTGAATCAATAATTATGATAAGTTTATAATACAATTTTCTGGATAAATCAAAGTTTAAAATATTCATAACTTTACCAAAAAAGCATTAATTTTAATTCGGAAAGCTGTTCTGTGCTAGTTTTTGTTACTTTAATAAATCTGCATACTCAATTTTAAATTAAAAAAACATTTACATTTTTGTAAATTTTAACGATGTAACCCCTTATAAAATTTTTAAAATTTTGAAAAAATTAAATTTTTGTCGCAGATGGCTAGATCGATTTGCCTTCTGATGCTGATCAAGAATATATATAATTTATACGGTCGGAAATGATTCCTTCACATTAATTTAAGCTTCCGACTTACATTCTAATACACTGCAAGGATATAAAAATAGTTTTCGATTTAAGGGACATCTAGCATTCATGGCGTATACTTAACGAGAAAACCTTATATCAAGTATACGCCATGTGTCTGTTATAAATTTATAAAGATAAGTACTTCCAGTTAAAAAGCAAGTTTATCGATTTAATTATAAGCTCGAAACGGAAATCAATAAAAACTAAGCTTCAAATATTCGATATTTTACAAATATTTTTACATTAAAATTTGTTCGACAAATCTAAGTTTAAAAATCGCATAACTAAGTCAAAAATGCATTAATTTTAATTCGAAAAGCTGTTGTGTGCTAGTTTTTATTAGGTTAATAAATCTGCATACTCAGTTTATAATTTCAAAAAATTCAATATTTTGTCAATTTTTGACAATTTTAATGATGTAACCCCTTATAAAATTTTCAAAATTTTGAAAAAATTAAATTTTTGCCGAACTTAGCCAGATCGATTCGGCTGTTAATTCTGATCAAGAATATATATAGTTTATAGGGTCGGAAATGACTTTTATACTGATTTCCAAGCTTCTGACTAAATTGTAAATCACAAAAATACTTTTTTTATGATTATATTATTTGAGTGTGGATATTTTGATTTATCACAACGTTATACGACATAAAAATCAATATTAAAGTTTTATATCTCGTATATATTCGTTAAAAATGATTTAACTAACCCATTTTCAATTAAGAATTCTTGAAACATTATTTTCATTCTCTAATCAGGCTTTTCTATGTATTTTTTTGAGTGGAAAGATGCTTCTGTGGTCTAAATAGAAGGATTGGGAGTCTGCAGATGGGTGAGGATAGGTTACCACCCCATGATTTCTGGCACTTACAACTCATTCGCCTCGGCGCCGTTTGCTGCTCTCTATCGATTTGGTCTTTAAGCTAATTGCCAATTAGCAGGATTGATTTAAAATCTCATTATCCCATCGCAGAGATACAGTAATCGTCTGTAGAGGGAGAGAGACGCAAAGGAGGGTGAAGAGCAGGAGGAGGTGGTTTTGGCCCAATGTTTTGGCCTTATCCAAGGTTGCGTTCGCAGCAATTGAGTTGCGTGGTTTGAGCTTATCGGCAGCGAACGAACCTGAACCTGTTGCTGCTCTAGCTGGTTGCTGGTTGCCGTTGCCGTTGCCGTTCGTCACGATTCGGTTTTTCGCCATTCGCTTCGATTTTCCCCTTGGCCCAGGCAATAGGAACCAGGCCCACACACACACGCCGGCAGTCGTTTACAGCTGGGATGTTCTCAGTAACTGTTTGGCTATAGACGGGCGTAGTTAATGCCAATTTCCCGCCGGAGTTTGATGGATGACTCAACAACGGTGTCGCCGCAGTGTCACTTAATTATTAGCAATAAATCGGATTAAGTGCTGGCCCAATAATTAACACCTCGCGAGTGTCGAATTCAATTGAAATAATTAAATGCAGCAAAAATTGTAGTGAACTTATAAATTGCAGTGGAAAGAAAAGTGTGAATCAAACTGTGTGTGTGTGTGTGTGTGATATCTAAACAAACAAGTGGCACTGGAATTCTTAGTTCTTGCCAAAGTTATCAGTTCCCCTCCGGGTTCTTTTTTTTTGATAAGAAATCATTACGCATTCTTTTATTTTATTTTATTTTCTGCCAAGTCAGGGCCGCATTTGCTTCGGAAAGTGCCTTGAAAATAAGTTTGTTAACAACTAAAAAGTTTTTCAGGCCAGAAAATCAATACTGAATATAATACAGGTTTAAACATAAATGAAAATCCAATATATACATATCCGCGACATTCCTCAATGGCAGAAAAAAGAAAATCCTGGGCATCCCGGATTTCGTTAAAAATATTTACAAAGCGATTTTTCCATAAAAGATTGTTTATTGAAAAGTGTTTACTCTGTACCTCTCGGCACTTGCCACATTGTGTTTGGGTTCAATACACACGTACACAACGTATATGTTTGGGATTTCAACAGGAATCGAAAATAAACATATATTCCAATCGATAGCACAAGCGAGTAACTTTGTTGTCTATGGTTCATTGGGTGAATAGTGTATGTGTAATGTGAATATAGTGGAAAATACAATTGAGAAACATTAAGACATTGCTAGGAGTATTAAAAAACGAATTTAAGAACTTTTGGGGGAGATAAGAATGAACTTGAACTCTACAAGTTTAAAGGGAAAATAAGATTGCGATAAAGAAATATACAACATTTCCGTTTTTTCGTGTTTGGTTTTAGTTTATAAAGTTGCTGGATATATGCCTGATTAAGAGCCTCCAAATACATTATGTAAACATAATATCATTCTATAGTTGAATCTAAATGTTTTAAATTAAAAACATTCCTGAAGTGCATCTTCTGGAAGTCCCTATTAATGGAAAATAATATACCTTCAAAATTCTATCGAAAACCCAAGTAAAGCTTCGATTTATGGTATATATTCCCCTATTAAAATCATTGTAAGGGTACCTCTCCCAAGGTAACCATTCTGATGAAGTCAAATTAAGAGTTACTCTATTGCCTTGTATTCTTTGGAATTCCAATTGTTAACTGACTTTCGTTTCCAAGAAACTTTCGCCTATCAAATCAAATTGCTAACCAGAGGTAGAGCACAAAGATAGTGAACTATTTGAGAAAGTGTGTTTGCGGCAGAGCGACAATGTTGATGATGACATTCAATTGCAATTGATTTCGATTAGAATTCCAATTTGCATAGCAATTATCGAGTTGAGTTCTCTCTCACCGTGTCTGACACCTTTTGTCAGTGACTTTCTTGGCCAAGAAATGCCGTGAATGGTTATCAGACAGAAGCCATCGAGAACCGTTTAATGAGAAAGCCAAAAGAAACTTGTTGAACTAGAAGAAAAACAAGAAGAATAAGAGTAAAAGAAGAGTATACCCAGGGGGAAAACATTTTCTTAATAAACAGCAGTTGCAGAGTCCAAGTCGTGTGAATAAAAGTGTATACTTTATTTTACCTTTTTTTTTTTGTGGGTCAGGCAGTGGCTGTATTCCAGCTAATTACCGTGAACTTGTCAGCGTACATGAAAACGGCTGTAAAATGACCAAAGCGAGGTGGTAATAAACCCAACGGCGACGACGAGTTAACGTGAAATCCGAGTACTAAATAATGTCCAGGCTGGTGAAGAGAATCTGCAGCATGATCAGTCCTCACAGCCAGCGGTATGCAGCGGAAGATCCGGATATCCCACAGATCTATGAAGGAGCCGGAAATGGCCGGAAATGCAACTCCCTGCCACGTCGTCGGCACAGTAAACGCTCGACTGCACAGAGATCCAATAGTGGTAGTGGTGGTGGTAATCTCTGGAACCGAATGGTAACCAGTGTCTTTGGTCCAGAGAATGATGCTGAGTTGGCTGAAGATGGGATCAGTGTTGGTGGTGCCAAATTCTATATAGATTCGGTTAATGGTTCCTGCTATGAGATATGCGGAGAAGTGAGTTTGGTGACATGAAAAGAGAACTTTCTATATTGTATATGATTATAAGAACTATTTATATATTCTCAAGATTTGTAGCTAATTTCCTATATTAATCTCTTTCCCTTTAGGGCGAATACATCAAGCATCCCGTTCTGTACGAGCTCAGTCACAAATATGGCTTCACAGAGAATCTGCCCGAGAGCTGTATGTCCATACGGCTGGAGGAGATCAAGGAGGCCATTCGACGCGAGATCCGCAAGGAGCTGAAGATCAAGGAGGGCGCCGAGAAGCTCCGTGAGGTGGCCAAGGATCGGCGTTCCCTTAGCAATGTGGCCGTTCTTGTGAAGAAGAGCAACAGCAAGCTGGCCGAGCTCAAGTCGGAGTTGCAGGAGCTGGAGAGTCAGATCCTCCTCACCTCGGCCAACACGGCTGTCAACAGCAATGGACAAGGTGAGTCTCTAAACATTTATTTCCCTTTATTTTTGGGTTGTATTGAGTAACATTTTCCCCTCAAGTGTCTTGCATTTCGTTTCGAAAATCCATTAAGAGCCACGAAAACTTTCAAAAAGCCAATCATAAACTGTTGCAATTATACGCAAGAGTTGGGCATAGTTTTGTGCAACAAGTTTTTGGGTTTTGTTTGAGGCAGCTGTAACGAGGGACAACAAGTGTAGTATGTAGTATATTTCCCTATAAAACCGAAGGGCGGGGCAAAGTTGTAACCAAAACAAACCACAAAGTAAAGTTGAGGTAGCGCTATAAAGTTGAGATACCTTTTTCAGGTAGAAGATACACTGCGGTTAGGTGGCCAGCTTTTGTTAGCCAAGTCAATTTGGTAGAAACTATCTGTAATGGGAAAAGTTTAGTTACTAGTTCAATTTATTGCAATATAATGTAGATCGATTCAGGGTAAAATATATATAAAATGGATAAGGGTTGGATGTTGCGATATTTTTGAATTAAAACAATTTTGTGCCAAAAAAACGTTGTTTTTAGTTATGAACTATTGTAATTAAAAATAAGAACGGAAGCTAACTTCGTCACGCCGATGTTTATGAACTTGCAGAATGAAATTCAATCAGGAATTAATACAATATAAATTATATATATTTATATCCATAAAATTGTACACAAAATTCTACATTAATATATAATGGCTATATATAAAATTTTATGAAAATCTGTTGAGAACTATAAAAGTTATAATTATTTTTTCTTAATTTTCCGATCGTTCCTATGTCAGCTATATATATGTATATATATAGTCCACCGATTCGCCATGCTTCGACTTATATAGTAGTAAAATTATATAGACGAATAACTTTATAGTTTCAGTCAAATAGCTTAAATTTGTTCCGAAACAAATCTCGCACATCTGTGCATATGATTCTCAACTAGTTCTAACATCCCCGGAACGAAGTGACTGCTGCCGGCCAAGTACCAGATATGTGTTGTGTTACAAAAAGTGCAAGTCATTGTTTATTAGTGTTGAAAGATAATTACTGATCATACATACTTACTGGTCATAGATACTTACTGTTAAGAGCTACTTACTGCTCAGAGTTACTTACTGATCATAGTTACTTGTTGTTCATAGTTACTTAATGTTCATAGGTACTTACAGTTCAGCGTTAATTACTGGTCATAGTTAATTACTGATCATACTTTTATAAATCGTCCGATTGTTCCGATGTCAGCTATATATTTGTATATATATAGTCCACCGATTCAGCATGCTCCGATTTATAAGCTTGTAAAATTATATAGACGAATACCTCCATAGTTTCATCCAAATAGCTTAAATTTGTTCCAAAACAAATCTCGCGCATCTGCGCATATGATTCCCAACTGGTTCTAACATCCCCGGAACGAAGTGACTGCTGCCGGCCAAGTACCAGATATGTGTTGTGATACAAAAGTTGCAAGTCATTGTTTACTAGTGTTCAAAGTTAGTCACTGATTATACTTACTTAGTGTCCATTGATACTTACTGGTCATAGATACTTACTCTTCATAGGAACTGACTGTTGAAAGATACTTACTGATCCTCTACATTTAACAACCCGTTCTCTGGCAGTTGTTTTATAAAGTATTTTCATAAAACTAAAAACTTAATTTCTTATAGAAAAATGCTACTATCACATAAACCCATTGTGGAAATTGTTCAAAGCTTTTCAGAATGTTTAAACTGGTTTTTAACAAGTCTTTGTCACGTACTTGCTTTTACCACACTTTTCTTGGCTCAATAAGCTCCTCCTTTTCGTGGTTTGATGACAAAAACCCATTGTAAAGGGTGTGAAAGATCTGATTATCGCTTTTTATATATATACTATATATATACCCTTGTATCTATTAACAAAACACTTTGTGATGGGCAGACAGCAAAGTCGAAATGTCTCTCAATTTCTTGTTTCTTTTTTCTATTTTATGGGAGCCAACTATTGACACAACTGGCGTGAAATGTGCTGCTTTCGGTTTGTTTACATTGTCATAGAGGAAGATGTAGTTGGAGACGGAGACGGAGACGGAGACGGAGACGGAGACAGAGTTCTCTGGCATTCAATCTATACGCTTCCGTGTTTGGCGGAATAGCAGAGTTGACCCAGAAGAGGAGCTAGCTCCATTGTTTGGCGCCATGTCGGGTCTATTCTCGCAACTGTCGAATAGCAATTGACATGTTTGGCAGCTGTCAAAAGAATGCAGCACAAAAATGCATGATTTCCTTTTATTTAAATGATTTCAATGCATGTATTTCGATCTAAACTTATGGATAAAAGAAATAAATAGCCTGTAAAAAATAACAAACAATGAAAGAGGAAATGTAGGTCGATGACAAGGCCTTTATTTATAACAAAAATTCTCATTCTATTACAAATAAAATAGTATAATTAGTAGCTTGTTTCCACAAACGAACTCAAATATTATCTAAAAGAAATAAAAGAAACCTTCAACTTGACAGGAAGTTGTGAAATTAGCAACAATTCATAGCGATATTACGTAAAGCTATTTCCCTTAATCATTTTGCTTATTGAGGCTCTTAAAAGCCTTAATACTAGACTGTAATTTGTTGATAAGACTTTTAGCTTTGAATAAATGTGAAAAGTGCAGGGAAAATATATGCAATTGCAATTATAGAGAGGCAAATCTTATGTACTCAATATATGTTCAAAAAAGGTCTTAAAATGTTATATTTATCATCAAAAACTAACTCTAATTTTCCCCAATTACAGAATCAATTATTGCCTGCACTGATCCCAATGGCGGTTTCCTGGTCAGCGGAGCTGTTGGAGGCCTTGGTGGTGGCGGTGGCGTTGGTGGCTCTACAACTCTCGAGGGCGGTGGACCGGCCACGGCCAATGACAAAGTCCTTGCCTCATTGGAAAAACAACTGCAGATTGAAATGAAGGTGAAAACTGGCGCAGAGAATATGATCCAATCGCTGGGCATTGGCTGCGATAAGAAACTACTGGCGGAGGCCCATCAAATGTTGGCCGATTCAAAGGCCAAGATCGAGTTCCTGCGTTTGCGGATCATCAAGGTGAAGCAGAACCGGGAGCAGGCCGATCGGATGAGGGCCACACGTCAAATGATGGATGAGCATGGCGGGAACAGTAGCAGTCAGCCGCAGAGTATGGAAACATCTCTCGAGGAGAGAATTGAGGAGCTGCGTCATAGGCTGAGGATTGAGGCGGCTGTCGTGGATGGAGCCAAGAATGTTATAAGAACGCTCCAAACAGCGAATCGAGCACCGGACAAGAAGGCGTTACAGGAGGTGAGTCGAGAAAATATATATCACCTATACCTTTTCAAGAACTTGAGTGAATTTGGGGATATTAGAGAACTCCTAGGACTACTTTCTCATGTAAATATATATAATATACTCCTCTTATTAGTTCAATTTTATTTAAGAACACTAAATTCCAAATTGTAATATATATTTGTCACACCTTTTTTAATCTCTCTAAACCCCGCATAATTGGGCTAATCCCAGCGTTAATTAGAGCTGGCTCTTGGCCAGGTAGACTTGGTAGCAGTACCTTCCCCCTTTTACACACCTCTTCACACACTCAGGTGTGTGTTTGTGTCTTGCTGCCATATGGCCACACGTCGTATGATTCATATTTGGTATATTCACTACGTATACGTGATTTTTTCCCGGCAACTGAAAACGGGAAGCGTGAAGAAGGAAAGCTAATTATGCGGCTGTTTAAAATATTTTTCAACGCTTGCTCGTCCGTTTCTTATTTTTTTTCTCTTCGTTTTCGTTTTCATTTCAAGTCTTTTTTGCCCGCTAACTGTCGTCTCATTAATTAAACGGACGTGAAGCGACGCAATTACTTGGGAGTACAACAAAAAAGAGAAAAAGAAATACGAAATATATATGATATTTGGCAAGTGTGTGTGCCTCAGGGCCTGCCCTAATAATTTTTACTTACACAGAAAAGATTTTCATAAATAAACCCATAGATTTTCTTCTGTAAATTCTGCTATGTATTTTCCGAATAATTTCACAATGCTTAGCTACAAGTGTATATTGGGGTTTTTCCTTCTTTCTTTCACCGATTTCCCAATGTCTGCGTTTCCTGTCGCGTGGCAAAGCTGCCGCTTTTCCTCTTTTCCCATTTTTCCTCTTTTGTGATTTATATCTGCGCTCACTGAATGCCGCTCGTGTGGTTTTGTCTTTGAATTTAAACATGAAGCACACACTTGCGAGTTTTTAACTTCCGCAGCAGCAACAGCAGCATCAGCATCAGCATCACGAGTAAGAGCCATAGAAATTACAACAATATGTTGTCCGGGGCGATGGTGGCCTAAATATTCTATTTGCAGGCCCCATTCTCATATTTATTTGTTCTGCGGTTCGGTTGCAACTGACAGATGCACAAAAAATAATACAACAAAAAAAAAAGGGGGAAATGAAGCGCAAATACAGTGCGTTTCGCAGACATAATACAAATTAAAGTTTAATGAGGCAAGGAAAAAGATTAGAGTAGAAGAAAGGAAAGTCTTAATAGAAACAAGAAAGGAAACTCACTTGCACATTAAAATTCGATCACTAGTATTTAATACAGTATAAATTATATATATTTATGTTAAAAACCAATATAGTAATGCCAGCTTTCATTTTATTCACCGCTTTGAATTTTTCTCTATTAGGCAGCTATATGATATAGTAGTCCGATTTCCATAACATTTTACACAAAATTCTAGATTAATATATTATGGCTATGTATCAAATTTGATAAAAATCTGTTGAGAACTATAAAAGTTATAATTATTTTTTCTTAAAATTTCCGATCGTTCCTATGTCAGCTATATATGTGTATATATATAGTCCACCGATTCGACATGCTCCGACTTATATAGTAGTAAAATTATATAGAAGAATAACACCATAGTTTCGGTAAAATATCTTAAATTTGTTCCAAAACAAATCTCGCACATCTGTGCATATGATTCTCAACTAGTTCTAACATCCCCGGAACGAAGTGACTGCTGCCGGCCAAGTACCAGATATGTGTTGTGATACAAAAGTTGCAAGTCATTGTTTATTAGTGTTCAAAGTTAGTAACTGATCATACATACATACTTACTGGTCATACTTAATTACTGATCAGAGTTAATTAATGTTCATTGAAAATTACTGTTCAGAGTTACTTACTGGTCATAGATACTTAATGTTTTGAGTTACTTACTGGTCATAGATACTTAATGTTTTTAGTTACTTACTGGTCATAGATTGTTGAAAGATACTTAGTGATCCTCTACTTTTAACAACAGTTTCTCTGGCACTTATATTAAATTGTATTATAATGTATTTCATACAACTTCCTGTTAGGTTCAAGATCTATTCCCATGATCTATAAATCCTTTACCCTTCAGCATTTTCACTTTTGTTTACTCTGTGAACAATATATCGTTGAAGTTTTTATGCGATCTCTAAGCTATAAAACAATAATAAACACAAATACAAAACCAATGCCCTTTTGGCCATATTGATCGAAGCAAGCCTTTTCTGCTAAACATTTATAGAACTATGTGTGTATGCTGGCTGGCTGGCTGGCTGGCACAACCAGGCACGTCACACAAACATTGGATGCGATACTTCTTTCCCGTACATAAACACACACGTCTCTTATAGAATGTTTGATCGGCCAGCGAAAATGAGCAGTCGGGTATAAAGCCATCATAAGAAACGGAGCGCAAAGTTCTCTAAAAAGCATATGGGGGAAATTTTGTGTAGTAAATGTGTATGTGTGTGTGCTTCTCTAGCGAATTTTCCCGCAGCGGAAAGCAGCTTTTCCTCTGGCGGCATTCAGTGCGAGTTCGATTGCCGCCGCCAACGCCTGGTGTTTTTTTCCCCCCGAAATATATAATTTTTTAATTATTTTTATTTTTCGCGTTTGCGTCGCGGTTTTTCGTTTCTGTTTTCTACTTTCTAATGTGTGAAAAGTTGTTGAAAGTGTAATATATATAATGAAAATGTATTAATAATTAAACTAGTAAAGAAATAATAAGAAAATAATAGTAAAATACTATAAAACTAAAGAAAAGTGAACTCTAAAATAAATCGAAAGACTTAAAATATATAAAAAACTCCTTTAGAATTGAACTTTAACTACATTACGCATACGCAGCGTGTGCCCTGCAACCTGAAATTGCGTAATTTCTTGATGTTTCATATGGATTATCATTAGTGTCCTCTCAAAAAATTGGCTTTTGGGGTCATCTTGCAATTTTAGCGTAACGAAGAAAACACACAAATCTTGTTTAAAAATAAATATCACATAAATTTAGAAGCACGAAAATTTTACAAAAACCGAAAGTGTTTTCACACCGAAATAGTGAACGTGTGTATGTGTGTGAGCGTTGGCTGAATGAAGCTAAAAATACAGAACAAAAAAAATATATAAAAAATACGTGAAAATTAAAGGAAATAATACTTTTGAAATTGTCAGTGAAAAAAAATATAAATTTAAACTCAACAAAGCCATATTTAAATATCAAGTAACTTGTTTCAATACTTAAAGTTTTAGAGAAAAAAAGTTGTTATCATTAAAATCCCTGCTGAATTTCCCTGGGAAATTCCAAAATGAAACCATAAACAAATCGTTTTTGTTGATATTATAAACTTACCTTTAAATTCTTGGCTAATTTCAAATGTAAACCTTTTGGTTTTTCGAGTGTAAAAACTAATAAATTCAATCAAATGTAGTTCGAGGATAGAAACTATCAAAACGGTTTCTTGATATTTTTAGCAAACATAAGAATATAAAAGAATATATATAGATAGACACATGTACAGTGCGTGAGTGTATATATATATGTATAAATATATATGGCACCTTGAGCTGCCGCCGAAATGTGTTCATAGTGCGTAAGGCGTAGTCATGGAGGAGGAGCAGCAGGTGCCACTGCCCCACGAACTGACCGCCGAATGGACAGTGCGGGCACATCTCACCTTTGCCCGGGCTGGAGAGCCGGTGCAAAAGGAGTTGAGTGCCCCAGAGGCAGTGCATCCGGTGCGTGTGGTCTACAAATGGTGTACACCCTCCGAGGAAGCCGAGGAGCAGGATGTGGATAAGGTAAGTACTGATACTTAGACTAAACCGAAGCCTTATTAAACCCTCACTTGCAGACAGCAGCCACCAATATCACAGGGGCCAGCTTCCGTTCCACCAACTCCTCGGCCACAACCAATGCAGATTCTGCTTTCGGCAGTCCCCACGCATCCAGAGCTGCTCGAATTCCGGCACCTGCTCCTGCTCCATCTCCCGTGGGAGCTACTGCCCAAGTGTGCGGCACACGATGTCGCAGCACCTGCAACATAATGGTATCCGCTGTGGCGGATTTTCTGCCTCAGGATGCTGGGATAGTGACGACAAACAACGAACCCTTTGTGTACCACAGCAAAGTACGGGCCCAGCAGCTGAGAGATGCCTTCTCCCAGACAAGCGATACGGAGGAGCAGGTGCCCAAGAGGCGTCCAGCTTATGAGCAACGAAGGGCCACCACCGAAGCGCTGATGAACTTTACCAGCAAACGGCAGGCGGAGGAGGCTAACACATATGTGGTGAGCTTGAGAAACTCCAGGAATTTACTTACATTTATAATAATTTCAATCTTTAAATAGCCACCCTACTCGCCCACGCCCACTACGCCCTCGTCCACATTCAAATCGGCTTCAATGTCGAGGATACCACCGCTGGCAAGTCAAGGATCTGCTGCTGCAACGCCTCGTCCCTCTAATCCGGGCGAGAAAAAGCCCCGCACTGTACACATTGATGTCTACTGCACTGGCTCCGAGGAGGAGGAAGAGGAGATGGCCGATGATGAGCGACAGGCTAGCTCCAGTTCTTCGGATTCCGATTTAGCTGGCAGCAAACGCTACGAACTAGACTCTAATTCCACACCGCAAACCGTGCTGGACAATGAGCAGATGCTACTGCGCCACCAACGGATCTCTGGCGGAGCAATGCCCAGACGCTTGGCTCAAAGTCCCAACCAGCAGAGTGGTTCAGGATCACAGAATCAGCACAAGGAGCAATTAAATCTAGGACATGCCATCACCAAATGCAGCACCGCCGAGGAAGTGAGCGAGTCCAAGCAGTTGCTCTTCCGCAAGCACATCGGTGACCAGCGGGCAGCCAAGTTGGCCAATCTGCGGCAGAAATACATGCGTCAGCCGAGCGATGAGACCAGCAGTAGCACCTATCCGAACTCCTCGAGATCCACAATGCCACGAGATGCGACCTGCAGCAGTATATCGAGTGTTATGGGTGGCGGTGGCACTGGCGATTATATGGACTCCTCGTGGAAGGATACGGATGAGGTAGACACGCCCAATGTCAGCTTCGGCTTGACCAAGTCGGATAGCTTTGACTATGAGAACTCGCTGGATCGGTTGCGCATTAGCCAGATGGAGCGTCTGTGGTCCCGCCAGCACTCCTTGGACCAGAGTCCAGTGCACACACATTTGGGAGCACCAGCTCCGCATCCTTTACAGACAATCACAGAGGTGCAATCGCAGAGGAGCTCCTTCCAGCGCAGCGATACCATACCATCGGAATCGGATGGCTTCTCGGATGCCAATGGCTTCAATACTTACCCAGGCAGGCAGATTCAGTCTCATCTGCAGCAGAATTCGCATTTTCCACGCAATCGTCCCGGTTTTCTGCAGTTCTTTGGACCCAACAATAGCGGACCAAGCAGTGGACCAACGCCACCAGCCACGGCACCAGTTCAACCCGCCGCTGCTTCGACTACTGATCCCTTCCGGCTGCTCCACCCAAGCTATCGTTGGAAGAGCGAGGCTCGCGATAACCTCAGTGTACAGGTGGCAGCCTCTGGATCACCCTCCTCAGAGCGTAGTTCTCCCCAGCTCCTGTCCGCAGCCACCACAGTGCTGCGTTGTGGCAGTGAGGCCCCGCCGAGCACCACATCGGCCAGTACTTTTGGCACCACTGTGCCGGCACCAACGCCTTCACCACTTCAAGTGCGTCGCTTTGAGATTTCACGAGACAGTCCCAGTTTGGCCAGTGAAACGTCCACATCCCTCTCCGGCTACACTCATGAGCATTTGGAGAAGGCACGACGCTTTGGCAATGTGGTGGCATCGACACGGAAACCTGGCCATCATGTGGGACCCACCAAGAATCCCAGCTGCCAGTGCGAGAGCTGTCAACGCTGGATGGCCGAGAGGTTTCAGTTGCGCGGAAGAGCCTTCTCTTTGGGCGAGAAACCGCTGCTAAGGCGACCTAAGATGTAGAATTGCAGAAATCATACATTTATTTCATTATCTAAGGCTTGCATTTAACACTTTGCTTTAGGAGCTTGCTCCCTGAGAAACCAATTAACCCGAAACCCTAATCACGAAGTCCTTAAAACACCCAATTTCTTTCGATTTAGAAGTAAGCCAATGTAAGCGAATGTTCCTCACACAGAAAAACACTTGAAATGTGCGCTGAATCAATTTTAATGTTGTAATAAAGTAAAGAAAACAATAGTTTGTAAAGGGCAATGGTTGATTTATTCGGTGAATTTTTAATATTAAGAATATTTTGTTATTTATTTGGTTTTGGGTGGTGATTTCATCTTATTTATATTCCATAAATTTCTGTACTTTGTCAGATATCTAATTAGTGTAGCATATATAATTTTCAGGCTAATTTATTAAGTATATATACAAGAAATGACAAATTCGACAGAAGATAAATGGGGGGTTAAGTTCAAAAGCATTCAGAATTTAATAAAATTAGATACTTTTGTATATTTTAAAAAAGTTTATTAACAAATGAACTCAAGTATAAATTCTCTTTCATGAAAAGGCTAGTATATATTCCTTTATTAACTATAAATTGTTATTAATATCTCTTATTTCTTTCAACCAGGCCCATGGACGCTTGTCGGAATCATCACGAAAATTAGATCTCTTGCGCCACTCCCTGGACTTGCGTCGCCAGGAGCTGCCCGTTGACTCTCCTGCCGCTCAGCAGCTCAAGACGGAGCTGCAGATATTCCAGCAATCGACATCGCCAGCTCCAGTCACCTACACCTCGCTGCAGTCGGGACAGGGAGGAATATTGGGTGGCAGACCCTATCAGTCAGTGTCCTCGCTTGGACGCTGTGCCAGTGTCACCGGCAAGTTGGAAGTGCGTCTGATGGGATGCCAGGATCTGCTGGAAGATGTACCCGGACGCTCGCGAAGGGATAAGGATAACAACTCGAGTCCCGGGGATTTGAGGAGTTTCGTCAAGGGTGTCACCTCGCGCAGCAGTTCGAAGAGCTATTCGGTGAAGGATGAGACCTCCATCGAGATCATGGCAGCCATCAAGCTGGACAACATCACGGTGGGCCAGACCTCGTGGAAGCCGTGTTCGCAGCAGGCCTGGGATCAGCGTTTCTCCATCGATCTAGATCGATCCCGTGAGCTGGAGATTGGTGTCTATTGGCGTGACTGGCGGTCGCTGTGTGCGGTGAAGGTGCTGCGCCTGGAGGAGTTCATCGACGATGTGCGACACGGCATGGCCCTGCAGCTGGAGCCGCAGGGTCTGCTCTTTGCGGAGGTCAAGTTCTTGAACCCGATGATTTCCCAGAAGCCGAAGCTGCGACGCCAGCGCATGATCTTCAACAGGCAGCAGGCGAAGAATATCTCGCGGGCCAAGCAGATGAACATCAATGTGGCCACCTGGGGACGTCTGCTCAAGAGGAATGCTCCCAACCATGTGCATATGGGTACGGGATCTGCGAGCGGAGCTCCCATTGGCACTGCCACGGGGTCACCCATGGTGGTCAGTGGTTCCCGGGACTCGGAGTCACCGATTTCACGAACTCCCTCGTCGGATGCCCTGGTCGAACCGGAACCATATACACCGGGAGAGCAGGCCCAGAATCTTGAATTTGATCCAGATGCCGGTATGCACGAGCATGTGGAGACACCGGGTGAATATCCGGATCCAGCGGCCAGCGGTTTGAGCGGCATGCGTCCCCTGTCCATGCATATGCAGGGTATCAGTGTCTTGCCACCGGAGTCGCCTCCCGTCGGTGCTGGGCGACCCAACACCCTAAGCTTGCAGATGCCGGGAGCTGGAAGCAAAGGAGGAGTTCCAGTCATCCAGGGCGGACGCACTGCGGCACCCACAACGGCGCCACCACCACCACCTGTGCTCAAGTCCACCACCACTCCGATTATGGATCAGGAGGTAAGTCAAATCCTTTCATTATTTTTTATAAAGCGATCCTTGTACAGTTCAATATATAGTTGTACCTTGACCCTGTATAAAGATCGACGTATGTATTATATTTAGCTGTGTACCTGTAACTCTGGTTTGAATCGTTGTGCCTGCCACCTGCTACTTGCCACTTGCCACTCCTCCGCCACTTCACTCTCTCATGTATCTATATATTCACTATCACAGACACACACACAACATGTACAGAATCACACTCCATTGGGCATTATTTGGTGCTGGGTTTTTATTATGCATAAATATATCTTCCTAAACTCCATGCAGAATCATCATTGATCGAAAAATGCCGGTTGGAGTACTAAGAAATAGGGTTTTCAGGTCTTGGATATCGTTTGTCTCAAAAATTTATTTATGATTTTATGCTGAGTTTTCAGTATATATCTTTGTTTTTGTTACTATTTTAGTTTTTGTTTCGAAGTTTCTATTGAAAAACCTTTCCGAAAATCCTTTGAAACCCCCTTACTTGCAAGGTAATATAACTTTTAGTCAGCAGCTGGTAATAATGTGAAGGAATCATTTCCGACCCTATGAATCATACATATTCTTGATCAGCATTAGCAGGCGAGTCGATCTAGCCATGTCCGGACAAAATTTAAAAAATTTAAAAATTTTATAAGGGGTTACATCGTTAAAGTTGTCAAAAATTTTATTTTTTTTACATTTTAAATGAAGTATGCAGATTTATTAGATTTATAAAACTGGCATGGAACCGCTTTCCGAATTAAAATTAATGCGTTTTTGGCTAAGTTATGAGTTAAAATAAATTTAAAAAGTTGTTGAAAGATATTGACAAATTTTTGCAGATGTAGCTTAGTCTTTATTTAAAAGCTTTCAAAGTTAATGTTTTAAGTATAGGGTGAAAATGAAACCCCTAAAGTAGGTCCAATAAAGCCTTCGCTTTCCCCAGAATCCTGGCCGCCCAATCATTCCATCATCATCATCATTTTTCATCTTTTGCTTATTCAATCGCGTTTTACTATCCTTTCGACAGTATCCTTGTTCATTCTCCTCTATCTCTGTTCCCTTTCCCTTTCACCTGGTTCTCTTCTTCGATCACACCTTGCTTTGCCTGGCCGCCTTCATCCTCCTCAATCTCAATCTCTCTCAGTCCCAAACTCTTTCTATCACTGTATCTGTCTCTGTGTGTTTGTGTGCCCGTCACGGTTTTCGTTTCCGTTTCCGTTCCGTCATGATTTCGTTAATCGCCGACAGCTGCAGGATGCCCTGCATGAGTTCGACTTCCTGTCGGATCTGGACTCGCGTCCCACCACCCTGCGCCGGCTGCTGAAGGAGCAGAACATGTCGCTGGATCCGGAGGCGCTGGAGAATCTGCTGCTGCAGCAGCAGCTAACCGAGCAGCAGGCGCTCCAGGAGCGCCAGCGACAAGAGCAGCAGCGGTTGCAGCAGTTCCAAGAGGCCCAGCGCCAGGCTATACTCGAGTTGTGTGAGAAGCAGCAGAGAGATTTGGAGGAGAGTCAGTTCCAGCTATCGACACCGCCGCCGCCACCCGCCTTAATCATCCGCCCAACGCCGCCTGCCAGCAATCACCAGCAAATCTTGCCAAGCTCCCGCCACAGCCACAGCCAAAGCCAAAGCCAAAGCCCAACCCACAACCAATTTCAGGTGCAGCCACAGCCACACCCACTGCCACATCCCGCCCAGAAACCCAATGCCGAACCACCGTCCGCTGTGGAGCAGCAGCTCCACCGTCCCGTCCTGACCCTACCGCCTGTGGTGCTGCTGGGCGGCCGGGAGGAGGAAGTGCGCTCGGTGCCGCCATCGCCGCTGGTCGAGTATCCCGAGGACGATGACGAGTATCTGTACCGCGGTGGAGAAGGAGGAGGAGGAGGCAACGATAACCAGGGCAGTCGGTTGCATACCAGCCACAGTCACAACTCCACTGCCGGCGATCGTTTCTGTGTGGAGGTTAGGAGGTTTTTTGTTTTTCACATTTCCTGGTTTGGTTTCCGGCTACCGGTTCCCTGTTTCCGGTTTCCGGTTTCCGGTCTAATTGCAATCTCTGTTCTCTCAGCTGCCGGGTGAAGGTTCAGCCCTTGATATCTTTGTCCCTGCAGTCTGATTATTTTTCTTTTTTAATTTATTTTACTAATCCTGATTTCTTTTTTTAATTTTATAATTATTTTTTATGTCTTTTTTGTTTCGTTTCTGACTTGAGTTATGGGTTTAATGTTTCTTCTATGTGTGCGTGTGTTTTTCCCGGTTTTGGCTTTAAATTATTTCAAGAGACCCCCACAAAGCCCCCAAAATTTGTGTAAATAAACATATATAATATTCATAAAACACACACATAAATACGCACTGTAAACAAAATAAGGCATACACATGCACATTACAAGCACAAGTTATTAAAAAAATCGTTGTAGAACTAACCAAAAGTTGAGCTAACACTGTTGAATATGTAGAAATTGAATGCATTAATTAATTAGAATTAATATAAATACGAAATATGATCAATTGGCAAAGCTTTTATTAACCAAGCACAGCTTAGTTTGTTTGTAGTTATAGGCTTGAGAGTAGTAATTTCTTAGTAACCTAACTTGAGAGCTTTAAATGTTGTTGAAACATCCATTTAGTTGTAATTGATGGGCAAATATTTAATCCATACAGCTTAGTTTGTTCTAGGGATGACAGAAAATATTGTTAACTCGATTTTGTATTGATATTTTAGCGGACAATATGTATTGATCTATAAATCTATAATTTAAAGTTACAAACAAGTATTTAGAAATCAGATTGTTATATAAAAAATTAACAATTTCGATAATAAATAATAAGTTTCGATATTTAACATTTCAATATGATATTGTTTACAATATTTTCGATATGATACATCCCTAGTTTGTTGTAGAAACACTCTTAAATAATTTAAAACGAGGCTAAACAACTTGAGAGCTTTGAGTATTTCTTTTATATTTATTAAATACATTTTCCTTTTGATTTTGCTGCTTAAATCGAAATGAAATGAAAGCTAAAAGTGACAATTTTAAGCGTTTTAAATAGATCAGCCAACGAAAAGATCACAGGAAAGTAAGGAAGAGCAGGAGGAGGAGCGTTGGGGGGTTGGAAAGTGCCAGCGAAAGTGCGCCGTTTCACGTGCCGCGGTAGGGAAAATGTTTTAATTTTTGTCCCCACACACACCTGCCCCTCACGTTGCAACGTCAGCAGCAGAGGGAGGTTTCCACATTTCCATTTTCATCTAAGATGTATCCGTCCGTTGTGGTCATTCTGTGTGTGTCCCAGCTTTGTCTGTATGTACACTTGTATCCGTCGTTGTTGTCACATTTCCCTCGGTGTCGTTGGTCATTTTTAGACCCAAAACAACGACGCAGAAGCGGCCAAGCGGCTAGCAGCGGTGCTAGCCCTGCTTCTGGTCATGACTTTGGCACTTGTTCGCCTTCAGTTGGCCGCCGCGGTCTTAGCCACATCTCTCTCTGTCCCTCGTATCGGTGGTGTATTTGTTATCGATCGAAATGTAGGGACGTCATAATGATTGTGCCAACTTTCCAAGCGCTGGCGCTAGTCGTGAGGCAAATGTTTGCGATCCAGCAGCAACAGCATCCCAGTCATCATCAGCAGCTCCTTCATTACCTTGACTTGTCTCCGTCGCGTGCCATCAACCAACTGTTACTGTGTCCCGCCAGTCCTGCATCCGCTGCCGTATGTGTCTATCCTGGGTTATCCTGGAAGTTCAATCGAAGCTCTCTCCGCTCAATCAAGCATACCACATCCTCCTTGCAGGCCCGCATTAGTCTTGTACATATAACCCTCGAACCGATCAATGCCAGCAGGACGACCAGTTGCCTGATCGAGGAGGTGGCGGAGCCGGACCCACAGCCGGAGATAAAGGCGGTGCAGCCCGCGAAAAAAGTGTTATCTGAGGCCTGTGTCGAGAGTATTCACCTCGAGACAGTTGAAAAGTTAGAGACAGAAGACCAAGAAGCGCATCAGGTAACAAAAAGGGAACGATTAAGCTAAGAAAGGATACCTCATCATCTAAGCTCTCAAGTTGTAGCCTTTGACTAGTCGTTGTTGTTGTGCTTATTAATCAACTTGAAACCCTACTAAAGTTTAGCTTTTCTTGTGTCCATTAGGTCATCCCGCAGTTGGGAAAACTCTATGTGGGCTCAGGCCAACAGCAGCAGCAGCAGTATGCTCAGTCATCGTCACCCATCATCCAAGAGCCACCCACACCCACTATATATGCGTCAGCTGGTGCTCCACAATTCCCGCAGCCCACGCAAAGGCAGGAGAAGCAGCAGCCGCAGCAGCAACCCATCTATGCCAATCAGTATGAGCTCAATGTGGCCAAGGCGGCACAAGCTGCCACCTCAGCCAGCAGCAGCAACTCCAATCAGCGCAGGAATGTGGCCCGTGGCCTGCAGTATTCCGGTGGAATTGAGGTGGGACGCTCTGGAAAGCAGGCTCCCAATGCTGGCATGTTGTCGCTGGACAATTTCCGCTTGCTGAGCGTCCTGGGACGCGGTCATTTCGGCAAGGTGATCCTGTCGCAGTTGCGCACCAACAACCAGTACTATGCCATTAAGGCGCTCAAGAAGGGCGACATTATAGCCCGCGATGAGGTGGAATCGCTGCTCAGCGAGAAGCGCATCTTCGAGGTGGCCAATGCCATGCGTCATCCCTTCTTAGTCAACCTGTACTCGTGCTTCCAGACCGATGTGAGTAGCCCGATAATGATTATCTTTATTTATATATACTAAATAGTTAAATATTTATTTCAGCAACACGTCTGCTTCGTGATGGAGTACGCTGCCGGCGGAGATCTGATGATGCACATCCACACAGATGTCTTCTTGGAGCCGCGAGCTGTTTTCTATGCCGCCTGTGTGGTTTTAGGCCTGCAGTATCTGCACGAAAACAAGATTATCTACCGCGACTTGAAGCTGGACAACCTGCTGTTGGATACGGATGGTTATGTAAAGATTGCCGACTTTGGGTTGTGCAAGGAGGGCATGGGCTTTGGCGATCGCACGGGCACCTTCTGCGGCACACCCGAGTTCCTGGCACCAGAAGTGCTCACGGAAACATCGTACACACGGGCAGTGGACTGGTGGGGACTCGGTGTGCTGATCTTTGAGATGTTGGTGGGCGAGGTAAGCTGCAGAAAGAAATATTTTTATTCAACGTTGTAATTAAATGGTTTTTGTTGTAGTCTCCCTTCCCTGGCGACGATGAGGAGGAGGTATTCGATTCAATTGTCAACGATGAGGTGCGCTATCCGCGTTTCCTCTCACTCGAGGCCATAGCCGTGATGCGCAGGGTAAGTGAATAAATATATATACTTAAGAGCTCATTTAATTATTAAAATTATCCTGTAGCTACTGCGAAAGAATCCAGAGCGACGTCTGGGCTCCTCGGAACGTGATGCGGAGGATGTTAAGAAGCAGGCATTCTTCCGTTCCATTGTATGGGATGATCTGCTACTGCGAAAGGTCAAGCCACCCTTTGTGCCCACTATTGTAAGTTGAAATCTTATCGAATCTTAAAAGATATTTCATTAATTTTGTATATATTTGATTTATAGAACCATCTGGAGGATGTCTCCAACTTTGACGAGGAGTTCACGTCAGAGAAGGCTCAGCTAACGCCGCCCAAGGAGCCACGCCATCTGTCCGAGGACGAGCAGGTGCTCTTCCAGGACTTTTCATACACGGCCGAATGGTGTTGATGATGGCTTTTACAATATTAACCTTTGTGCTTTTACTTGTGTACCAAGTTTGGTTTCGCGTAATTATTTTACTTGGTTAAGTCGTCGGATGCGAGTTCAATATTTATATGAGAAAAACATACAGGACGTATATATACACATATATATATATATTTATAACTAATAACTATATAGAAAATATAATGTATTTATGAGAGAGACCTGGCCGAGCAAGAAAGAGAAAGAGACCAAACCAAATTACCTTTATCGTACATAGAGCAAGCGCATTTGTCAATCATCAATCATAAACCACCTCCGATATCTGCCAGATCAGATCATAACCATCATCCCTCCATCCACACAGAGAGTAGATTATTCTTTATTTTTCCTAAAAACGAGAGCGAGCCCGCATTGAATATAGTCTGAGAAAGCCTAGGAAAGCCTTATATACGCAGCGTTGAACATTTTTTGTAGGATCCCCGATCTGAATAGATTTTATAGAGAGTTATGTATGGCCTTTAAATAAGCAGAAAGCATATTTTCGTAGAGAGATGACATATAAGGACAAGCAAATTCAAGGATATATTTTATACATGAACATATACATATATATTGCATGCACACATCCCAGGAAACGAGCTCATTTTTACCCACAAAATGATACAAATGAGAAAAGTGAAAATCGAGCGAGAGAAATAAATATTTATATTTACAGTTTTTTATATAAATGTTAGCTCTGTAAATTGCCTTGCGCTATCATCAACTCCCCAGCCCCATTGCCCGAGTTGTGTTTTAATTTTTAACGTATGCATATACATATATATATATTTTTTAAACCACACACACACGCAAAAACATTTGTTATTTATTATTATTATTATTACACCTACAATTACATATATACAAGAAACTGTATTGCTTTGAGCATTTTTATTCGATGATAGAACGGAAGGATTGATACGAGGATCGAGAATATATATAAAGCGACGAAGAACTCTGCTCGTTGTCACAGATCTATATATATTTATATGGCCTAGGATCCTATATACGCTATATATTAAATGTAATGCTTAGTTGTTTAAGTTTAATCTATTATTGAAACGTGTAGCGTCTAAGCCTATCATTATGTGAGCATAATTATTGATAAATAACGATTCGAAACAAGAATTCAGATCTTCTATTGTCATTTTTATTATTATGATTATGATTGTCGATTTAATTTTAAAATCAGTCACTTTGTTAAGCTTCAAGTTGTGACTGTAACTTATACTATATATACATATTATTGATATGATTTTGAATAAATGTATCTATTGCTATTAATTAAATGCTTTCCTTGATGGGCTTCTCACATAATCCCTTGCTAATTTGGTAATATAAAATGGTGGCTGTGTTGTCCAAGATGGCCAGAAATATGGTTCTGTGATGGAGGGAAAATTCATTAATAATTAACTAATAATTTGTTATAAACTCACATTTTTTCCAGCTTTTCCTGCAGACTTTCAATAAGGAGAAAATCTATTGCTTTTGTGTGAAGAACGGGCACATATGCCTGGCTTTCTCCCTTCAGTAAATAAAATACTTTTAAATTTGCATCATATTTTGGCTGGTAGCCCACGCTTTGTTCTTCTGGAATATACATATAGTTTTTCGAATCTTTATTTAGATAAAATATAAGAATAATTACCATTTTTCAAGTCCTTGTAAATTTGAAAACCCAAAGTTGCCATCAAACTGTTGGGACATACAGTTGTGAAGTCACTGAGTAAAAGCTGAAAGGTAAACACACGCTTGTCTTAAAGTTTGAGACCTACCGGTTCGAGAAATGCTACTTACCATGGCTGTTAAACTTTGTTTATATTTTTTTATTTCAGTTTTTTTTAATTATATGAATATTTAATCTTTATAAATACAACTTTAACTAGTATTTGGTTTTAAATTGTTTTCTTAAATATGTTCTGAATTATATTCTCCACACAATTCAACAGCTGTCTTTTTGGGCTGCCAACTTGCAGGGAATAAGCAAAAGCTTATAAAAAGCACTGCCAACACTTTGAAAGTGTTGTAAAGCAAATAAATATTTTAAGCTTAGGGCGCCCTTTTTAATTTAAAAACTTTTGATTAGTTTGAAGGGATTATTAAATGAAAAATTTCTTATTTAGTCAATTAAGTTATTATTAATTCGAATATTGAACACGTTTCTCTTTTGATCTTCAACAAATCAATAATTAAATTAAATAAATTCATAACTCATCCCCATTTACTTCTTTAGGTACCTCAAATTAACCATTAATAATCTGCCAAGTTGTCTCTATCAAAACATAATCTTTGTATGCAGACATTGTCTTTGTCTAGACGAAATAGCAAAGCAACTTGGTTACTTGACAGGCAAGAAGAAGGAGTTAAACCCAAAAAACCCCCACCGATTGCTCAGAGGAAACGACGAAGACACCAAAGAGGCGGCAAATTATGCTAAGTAGATGCAGTTGGCCAGAGAGAATGGGAATGGCTGGCCAGGGTATGCATGCAAAGCAGTTTCCAAGGCATTCCTCGAGGTCTCCGCAGCCGCAGGACTTCCCCCAGTGTGTCCGCCTGTCTATCTGTCTTCTCCAGTTGCGAGACCAAGTGATAAGGGTTTGGCAGGAGCAGCACAGCCCAGCAGCATCCCTGAGATTCCCACATGTGCATGCATATCAATGTGCGTCTACGATAAGCAACTTATGCTTTCCGGAAAAATATAGAAACAGTGGGGAGCATTGGAGAAACAGGAACAGGACCTTACGGAATACAGTGGGACTTCTGTGAGTATCAATTATGTATAGAAAAAAATCAATTTCTAAAGGTTTAAAGAACTATTTACATACATTAGTTATTATACCCTTGCAGAACATTATAATTGTAGTCAGCAGCTTAAAAAGATGTGAAGGAATCATTTCCGACCCTATAAATCATATATATTCTTGATCAGCATCAATAGCTGAATCGATCTAGCTATGTCCGACAAAAATTTAATTTTTTCAAAATTTTGAAAATTTTATAAGGGGTTACATCATTAAAATTGTCAAAAATTGACAAAATATTGAATTTTTTAAGACTATAAACTGAGTATGTAGATTTATTAACCTAATAAAAACTATTACAGAACAGCTTTCCGAATTGAAATTAATGCATTTTTGGCTTAGTTATGCGATTTTTAAGCTTTGATTTGTCGAAAAAATTTTAATGTAAAAATATTTATAAATATCGAATATTAGTAACTTAGTTTTTATCTATTTTATTATTAATTTAATTATTAAAATTATTATTAATTTAATTGCCAAACTTGCTTTTTAACAGGAATAACTTATCTTCATAAATTTATAACAGACACATGGCGTATACTTGATATAAGGGGTTTCTCGTTAAGTATACGCCATGTATGACATGAATCTCTTAAATCGAAGACTACTTTTTTACCCTCGCAGTGTCTTAAATTGTAAATCGGAAGCTAGAAACGCTGTGAAGGAGTAATTTCCGACCCTATAAATAGTATATATTCTTGATCAGCATATAAAGAGGCGAATCGATCTAGCCATGTCCAGGAAAATTTTTTTCCAAAATTTTGAAAATTTTATAACGGGTTACATCGTTAAAATGTTAAAAAATTTATCAAAATTTTACATTTTAAATGAAGTATGCAGATTTATTAACCTGATTAAAACTAACATGGGCAAGCTTTCCGAATTCAAATTAATGCATTTTTGACTAAGTTATGAGCGATTTCAAGATCAAAGAATAAAGAAATTTTGCCTACCCGAATCTAAGAGTCCTTTTTTTATAAGCCTACAGTCCAAAAGTTGTTGAATTAACTAAAAACTAAAGAATCTTCTTCGACTGTAAAATATTAACATATAAATCTTTAACTGCTTAAACTTAGAAATGTGTAATGTTAATTGTTTAACATCTAATAACATCAACAAATTATAAATAATTATAAAGAAATACGTTTAAGGCTATTTTCAAGTTTAATATGACATTTATAATAATTTTTATTGTTATTAGAAAATATTAATATTAGCTTTAAAATCTCCAAACAAAAACCCCTTTCACCTAAAATTATCTTACGTTCTCTCTATTTCAGACATTTTCAACCTCAACAATTGCGACTGTATTTGAAAGTTTCGGACCAAAGTTCAGCCAGGATGCCAAGGATATTCAATTAGGCTGCTCATCGGCTGGTGGGGTGAAGGTTGGTGGGAGTGTGTGTACCTGGAAATCAATGCGAGGAAGCATAGTTGGCTGCTCCGCCTCCAAAGACCAACAAACCGAGCGACGCAAACTGGCAACATAAACCAGATGTTGCGGTCGATGGCCATTATGGAGCTTGTCAATGCCAGAGAGCCATGAGCCATGGCCCATGAGCCATAAGCCAGCCGGCGGAAGAAGAAGGAGAAGGCGAATGTGGGAGCCGGACACACAGCAGGGCCAAGTCATCCAAGGCAATTACACTACGACGACAAGGACACCAAAGGCAGTTGCCACAATAACACACACACACCCACGCACACTCGGAGTCCTTAGTGCGTGCGGTTACTTAATGCTGTTTACCAGGACTCGGGTCCTGGCAGCGGCCACTGGCCACTGGCCACTGGCAGCGGCCGGAACTTGTTTGGCACCGGGACTTGGCCACAATATTATTTGCACTTGCTGGGTTTTATACTTTGGCCATAACCGTTGGTCTACGCCAAATGGCCCATTGGGTCATTTATGGCCGTGTTCAACGCGCTGTGACAGCGACTACTGCTGTTCGCTGTAGTTGGTTCTTATTCAATTGCTTTATCTGCTTTAATTAAGAATATTTTTAGACCAAGAAAGGGATACAAAGGTGGGGCAGTTTTGGAGATAACTCTTCTGCTAGGAAAAGCTTTTACAATATAGGAAATCCATGTCCTTTTGGTGCTCTTAAGAAACCTTATACATTTATTATTAGAAAGAAGGAACCTGCCGTTCTGTGTCTTTTTTATACCTCGAAATAAGCCCCCATTTAATCCTGTTTAACCTGCTTTAAATGCTTTGACTTTTTGCCGCCGGTAAATTCCTGTTAACCTCCGGAAAAGTCGCGTTTTCCCGCTGGGAGTGTCTCTGCCAGGATGTGTGGCAGTGAAGCGATGGCAGCACATTGTTGCGGCTCGAAGTTGCCACTTAACGTATTTGCATCTCACACAGATTCGGTTTCACCTGATATAACACCTGCCCCGATGCCCCTCTCCTCCTCCTTTGGCTTTAACCGAAGCACCTGGCAGCAGTTTTAATTGACCAAACTGCCAATGCCACACCTGTGGGAATCAATTGAGATTTATTGCCCGACGGCGTGTCAATTGTGTTTGGTTTTACTGTTCTACTGTCGTCCTCTGCGGACTTTGTAATTAGACGAGTATTTTGTTTGCAGTGGGAATTTCCAGCTAGCATTTGGCCAAGTGCCCCAAAACTCGTTAAGCATTTGCAGGACAAATAAACCGACAGCTGTGGTAAACTTTGGACCAGCATAAAATTCCAGCTAAAGGTCATTTGCAATTCAAGGGGAATATGGCCTAATTACGATTCCATCTTCTGCTTTAAGCTTGGCAAAACTTTTTGTCACTTTCTCCCACGGAATATTTGTATCGAAATTTGGTAGCTTCAGCTCAGACTTGGGTGTGTTAGCCCGTTCTTTAATGGCATTTTAAGCGTCTTAATGACTTAATGGCTTTGAGGTCATCAAAACGATTTCTGGCGCATCATTGGCCATGCAATTAACTCGAGTATTCCTCCTCTTTTTTTTTATTTTTTGAGTGCCAAGTGTCCTGGGGTAATTAGTTGAGTTTTTTTTTCCATTTGTCTGCGGGTGTCCTGCGATGCTCTTTGCCACTGACTGTGCGCGAAAATTCATTAAAACTCGATAATTGCATGACAAGACAAGATTCTAGGACTTGGCGCTAGTCCTTGCTTATCCCTTTTGGCCTGGATATCTGGCAAATGGCGGGAAAAAGCAATTGATTTTGGTACTCATGGATAATTGTTTGTTTAGTGAGTGCACAAGGAAAAATTTATCAGTTAAAACACAGTAAAAATATTCAGCTTTTGCTTTTTAACATCTTAAATATATAAACAAATCCACACAAATTCATTTACCTTACAAATTGATCCATTTTCCAATCAAAACATGACTTAATTACTTTGCTGATTTGCAAATTAATGCAAATGCCACTTGTCTGTGTCACAAAATTGTGTTTCATTAAAATTGTTTTCACTTAACTAAATTGCATTGATTATATAATTAAAGCATTCAAAAACCTGGTAGAATGTTATAGGTTATAGAGGAATTTAACGAAATTATTAGCCTTTGTCTTGCCAAAATCAAATATGAATCGAAGGCACTCAATCCTTGGATATAATTTGAGCCTGCGGTTGCCGGAAAGGCAAATTGAATTCTGCCATGACCGGAGGTCCCATAAACAGGCCAAAACCCATATACATTTTCAGCCTGATTGCATTCAGGAGTAGGGTCAGGATGGAATGCCAGAAATTATACACAAAAGATAATGCTGGAGCATACAATTGGATTGCCAGCTGAGCACCAGGGAAGATGCAACCGCACACAAACATTCATTTTCCACTCCAGTTGCGTTGAGCGCATTTCGCATTTCAGCAGAATTTCAATGCGACAGACAACAAGAGAGATAGACCAGCCAGACGATGGCATTGTTACAGGGACCTTAAGCCAGGGAGTGACATTTATCCTGCGGAGCCAAAGTCCTTGCTGCTGCTGCTGCTGGGAAATTCATTTGCGTAATTAGTGGCCAAGTGGCAGCCGCAACCTGGCATTTAGCTTCAGCCGCAACGTAACAGCTTTGGAATCACCGCAACTTGCTGCTTGATTATTGGCATCAGGGGGATGTCCAGACATTCAGGCATTCCCCCTCCTGCCAGACTTTGGCCCAAAAGGATAGGGCTAGCAGACAGCGGACGTCAGCACAATTGATGGCATACTTCCAGGGGCAGGTGGGAGCAGGTGAAAGCTGTGGCTTTTCCAGGAGAAGGTCCTGGCCTCACATCTTTTTAGGATACAGTAAAACTTGGCTAATTTCATCCAGTCTACCATAATTTTTATTCAAATTATTCTAAATTATAATAAATAATTCAAGTTGAAGTTTAGGTAAATATAATTGTATACAAAAAATATATATAAAAGCAAGCATTTCCCCCACAAACTACATTTTCCAAGTATTTAAAAGCTTACCCGCTCTTCCTATCATACTTTGTAACCATTTCCGGTGACCAATTACTGGTTCCTCAACGAATTTGTAATTGAATTGCTTTGATTCCGCCCAGGAAGGTATTAAGAAAGTATAATTAAATTAGTTTTAAACTGAAAAAGTAACTTAATCAATGTGGCAAGAAGCGGAAAACTTCATTTGTAGCTGGGGAAAAGGCGGCAGGTGGAGAGGGAAAAAAGGAAAGCTACGTGAGAGTTACAAGGGCACGCACACAGTCACAGGGAAAAGCGAAAGCACCAACAACGACAGCTACAGCTAGGGGCAGGGACGAGAAGGAAAATCGGAAAAGCGGAAGAGCAGCAACAGAAACTAAGCAAAACATGAGCGAAACCAAAACAAAAACAGACGATTTGCCGGCAAAATGCACGTGACAAGGGTGACAAGGGGAGAGCTTCGTTCAGTTATCCTTCGGCACGAACTGCAACTCAACGAAGGAGAGCCGAAGCTGCGCAGAATCCCCGAAAGCGTGCTATAAAAGCGAGACGCGAGCAGGACTCGGCGCATTCGATTGTCGTCACTCGAAGGAAAAGGTGCCGAGTTCAAAGTTCAGCGGAAGAGAGTCCTGAAAATAAAAGTGAAACTTTAAAGCCAGAAACACCACACACACACACACACGTTGCATATAGCAGTCCTGTGCGTGCTGTTGGCCATGTTTGCCAGTGTTTGTGTGCTGGCCAAGTGGATTTCTATTTCGAAAGCCAGCGTGTGAAGTGCAGTGCAGCCGAAAATAAACTTTAATTGTTGCAAAAGAAAGGAAAACCAAAAAAGAACAAGACTTTAAGGAGCATCCGAAATTGTGGCCACCATAACCTTCTGATCCTTGGGACATGTGGAGCAGGCAGCGTATGCGACACAAGCCGCTTTGGGCTTTAATATCCTTGACCGTTTTGCTGCTGGTCTTGGACAAAAGCAATGCCAACACGGAGCCCGTCGAGACCACCACCACATCCGAGCCAGGTGAGTACTAATTGCTCAGCGCCACGTGGTCCTCGGTGACCTTCGTCCTTCCGCTCGCATCGTCCCTGAGAAATAGTAAATAAATTATGACAGGCCTCAAACTGAGCCACTTTATTAAATGGCTTATCACACACGCACTAAGGGGGTGAAAAGAAAACGCAGAGAAAAGCGAGAGAAGGAAATCCTGTAGGCAAAGCAAATCAGGAAAAGGAAAGCTGGAAAACTGCAGAGCAGAGCGCAAAAGCAAATAACTGGCAGCAAATGAAATATTTCACGGCATCTGCGGCACAAAGGCAATCAAAACGAACCGAGAACCCATGGGCAACCTTAATCCCAATCAGAATCAACAAACAAGCAAGGGCAGCGCGAAAAAAGGGGCAGAGAAATCATTGCACTCAGCGAAAAAACTTAAACTAAAGGATATTTTTACATATTTATATTAGGTTAATTTTTAAAAGAGAAAATAATAGAAGTTATACCGTTGTCCATCATGAAAATCAATCATAACTTAGCCAAAAATGCATTATTTTTTAAACGGAAAACTGTTTTGTGCTAGTTTTGTTTAGGTTAACAAATCTACATAACAAATTTTACATTTTAAAATGTTCAATTTTTTCTACATTTTTCACAATTTTAATGAAATTATAAAATTTATTTATAAAATTTTCAAAAAATTGAAAAAATTTAATTTTGTCCGTACATAGCTAGAACGATTCTCCTTTTTATACTGATCAAGAATATATATAATTTATAGGGTCGGAAATGATTCCTTCATATGATTATAAGCTTCTGACTGAAATTGAAATCCATTTCTTGAGTCGATATTATCAATAATTCTTATATGACAATTTTCTTTGAAAATAATAGTTTAAAAATTTCATAACTAAGCCAAAAATGCTTTAATTTTATTTCGGAAAGCGCTCCTATGTTATTTTTTATCAGGTAAATAAATCTCCATACTCAATTTAACATTTAAAAAAAATCAATTTTTTGTCAATTTTTGGCAATTTTAATGATGTAACCCCTTATAAAATTTGTAAAAAATTGAAAAAATTAAATGTTGCCTAGACATAGCTAGATCAACTCGGCTTTTGATGCTGATCAAGAATATATATGATTTATAGGGTCGGAAATGACTCCTTCACTAGATTTCAAGCTTTCGACTGAAAATATAGTACCCTAAAAGGACTAAAATTAGGAAAATTATATGATACAAATATTTCTTGCAGTGCATGACAGGGCAAAGCAAATGAAAGGTGGCTCGAGCAGAAGGCAATTGCACGAAAGCTGGCTGGTAATGAAGTATGGCAGGCCGTCTGAGGCTGGGTAATAGAAATTAATAGCGTCATGTGTGTAGGTCCTGCGAGGCAAAAGGGAGGTGGAATGTAGGGAAGGACGAATGGGAGGATACATACATAGGTGAGGAGTAGGTAGATCGGTAAGGGGTGGTGTAAAGTGCCCGACAACGACACGCAGATGCGCATAAAGTAATTAATTCACTTTGCCATCATCCCGATCCCCCTGCGGTCGTCCTTCTAATTTCCCCTAGCATATCGACAGGGGCAGCTGTTGAGCTTTTTTTCGGTGTGTGTGTGTTTTTTTCCCCCGTTTCTTTATCCTTTATCCTGCGACGCAATTTGGTGTTTTGGCACATATTGCGACTTCTTTTTCGTGTTTTGTATGGGGTTCAGTGGGTTGTGCGCAGTTTTTGGTGGCTTAGGACAACCTTGGACCTTGGCTGCAGTTTCAGTTTCCACACCGAATCAAATATTTGCCCCTCGCACATATGAAAGCGAATGGAATTTAATTTACATGACTCACAAATGGAATCCATTTAATGTTGACTTATGACAACGAAGAGAGAGAGCGACGTCTGGCGATGAAATATGCAATAACCGAGGCAGCAGCAGCAGCAGCAACTAAAAACTGACGAACGGACCGGCAGGACTCCCCGCGTCCTCTGGATTCTGGGCCTGTCCCATAAATCCTTGTGGCTCCGGGATGTGTATGATGAAGTTGCACAGTCGACCAGTTAAAAATGCACAGAGGGAAAAGTCGAATGACAGAGTTGAAGGCTTTAAGATACAGTATCTCTAGATACTCGAGCTGAAAGATACAAATTTGGGGGATTTTAGATTACATAGAAATTTAGTTTAAGGGAATATTAGCATATCGATGCTTATTAGGAAAAAGAGGTACAATAATATATATAATCCTAATTTCAACATTAAATGGAACACTTAAAATATATCGATATTTTACAGTTTACTATAGTTTCGTTATGATATTGAGATTGATATCTTTATCAATCTCTTTTTTTAATATTTGGTTTTAGTAATACTTCCCCAAAACATGATTTTAAGTGCAGATGCACACACATGCAAGTCCTGCTAGTTGCAATCCATGGTCACATGTCTCTTTGCCACATTTTATGTGCTTAAAACAAAGCTGAATCTGCATTATGCATGCAAATGGTATAACCGAGTAACGAACTGTCAAAATCGCAGTTACAGCAGAAAGAAGCCAGTGATAAAGAAGCTCGAGCCGAGCCTCAGCCGGAGCCTGAGCCTGAGCTTGAAGGGAGGGGAAAACCTCATGACAGCAAGTCGCCAGTGCATTATGCATTCGAAGTCGCCTTTCTTTCCACATACAGATATATATATAGAGAGGAGAATATGTGTGCCAAAGATGAAAGATAACTCGACGTTTTTTCCTCGACTCCCCCTCGGAAAAGAAGGCAGAGAGCTCAAGCTGGAGCTCCTGCTGAGTGGGAAATGGTAATAGCTCTAGGTATGGGAATAAAAGAGGACTGCTTTTGCTCGACAGTGCATGAATGATTTATAGGACGGCAGCTGTCGAGATGCCAGCGATTATTGGCCAAAAGAAACCCCCTCACTGGATCGGAATAAAAAGGAGTTTTTGGTTACGAATGTACTACGTATTTTCACGATTAACAGAGTTCCTTTAAAAGCCAAGTTTGACTCACTTCCTCCTTACGAACTTCACTTGAATTTTATTCTGAGTCCGCAGAGTAATTCCTGCTGTAAAGACAATGGTCTCGGGATCCGTGACTGGCAGGATCTTAAACTCTTTCAGGATGACCACCAGCAGAGTCTTCATCTCCTGCATGGCATACTTTTGACCTATGATGAGATTAAGAAATTATTAAATAGGTTTAAATGGTATTCTCTGGGATTACCCCTTACCAATGCAATTCCTTTGACCAGCACTGAATGGTATATAGGCGTAGGTGTGACGGTTCTGACAGTTCTCGGGCAAGAATCTCTCCGGTCGAAATTCATCGGGGTCATCCCAGTATTTAGTATTCCGATGGATCTCAAATACATTTAGAGCGATCTGGGAGCCCTTGGGTAGAACCAGACCATTGGCCAGCTCTGTATCCTGGACAACTGCACGACCCATTACTGGAACGGAGGGAAACAGGCGAACAGTTTCCTTCATAAAGTAATCCAGGTGTTTTAATTTGTTCAGCTGACCAATATCCAAGTTGCTCAAGTCATCTGAAACAGATTTAAGATTGGAGATTGACTCTTAATAAAATGTGTTGGCAATTAACCTGCTATGTGCTCCTGGATCTCCTGGTAGCATTCCTCCTGCTTGTCGGCATAAAGACCCATGTTCATCAGTCCAAAGATGAGACCAATCGAGGTGGTGTCGTATCCCTCGAACATCAAAGTGTCCACCTCCTCGCAAATGCCAATGTGATCGATGAGACCATCCTTTTCAGCATGAATCAAGGTGTCCAGCATGGCAAAGCGCTTCTTGTTGTTAAGCCTAGAAATAGAGATAGAAAATAATATCAGCATTTATTTATCATAAAAACTAGTCTAACTTACCCATCATCATCATTTGACTGAGAGAGTTGAGAGCTGTCTAGTTCATCTTTCAACAATACTCTCCGCTTGGCAATGATCTCGCTGGAGAAGCTATGAACCACATCCAAGGCAGTGGCATAATCCTTCGCAGCTAGCAAATTGAAGAGTCCATCTCCCCACAAAAATGGGTTACTCAAACGTCTAATAAAGGATTCTTCTATTTGGCTGAAGTTCTCCCGGTAACGATCACCTTTTTCGGCCATTTCATCAAGTTTCACGCCCATGGCAGTCTCTGAAGTTCAAAATAATTATATATTATACATATCGATAATTTATTTAATAATTACCACAAATGCTGTTGAGCGTAAATCTGGGAATGACATCATTCAGAACAATAGTAGCCTCATCTTTGCCTTTAAATTGCTTCAGGAACTTCTGACTCTCCGTTCTTAGCGAATGAAATTAGTAATTAATATTTTTATATATATTTATTTCATTAAGAAACTCACTTGAAGATCTCCTGAAACTGATTCAATATATTAAAATGGAACGTGGGGGTGAGCATCTTCCTACGGGCATGCCATTTCTTTCCTAAAAAATAAAATATATTATATTGATTGAAGAGATAAATCTCATATCAAGCTCACCTGTTGAAGTCAACAAGCCGGTCCTTAGGAAGGGATGCAGGAATTTGTAAAACAATCCTTTGGTTATAAGGTTCGGATGATTCATAACATTCTCTGCAATGTCTGCATCAAGGATATTGTATACTGGTGTACCCAAATAATATTCAACGAAGCTTTCACCCATTTTTTTTGCAAGGTCCCTTGAAAGCTTGAAGACACCGGCTGTGTGTTTATTAGGAAATAAAAACCAAGCAGTAAATATTATAAAAACATCAGATAAGCTTTATTAGGACAAAGTACGACGGTGACTAATTACCATTATCACAGCCATACAAGTCCAGGGTATTGCCAAAGATGGTTTTTCCAGGGGCTACGGGAGAAATGCTCTCTGCAGGACGGCCATCCTTTGTCCACAGTCTCTTGGCAAAGAAGGCCATGACATAATAGTCCTTGTTGAGCCTGTAGAGCCAGTGCAACAGCACGCTCCCAGCCACGACCAGGATCAAAAAGAACATTATTATTTAACGAACCGCAACCGGGGACTTATCAAAGCAAACTGAGCGCTTCACTCAAGCCGGGAATGTATTTTGCTATCAACCAGTTTCATTCACATTTAATAACAGCAATTAAAGAGAGCGGCAAGAGTGATTAGATTAATACATATATACATACATATACATTTATTCAAACAAAGTCTCGCTTTTACGGTCTGCCCTCTATAATTTTTATTTTTATTATAATCTACATGTTTTCTTGAATAAATAGTTATATTCATAATTGTGTTTAGGGTTCAGGGGCAACCAGTAAGCTTTGTTTTTATTCGAGGCTATCATTGTAGATAAAAATAAAGAATTTAAAGGAGCAGTTTTTTGATAACACTGTTTCATATATTTCCAAAATTACCATATTATCTTAATAGTAAAAACAAAGTTAATTTCACTTCCTTCTCACAAGCTTCACTTGAATTTTATTCTTGGTACGAAGAGTAATGCCTGTTGTGAAGACAATGCTCTTTGGATCTGTGACTGGCAGGATCTTGAACTGCTTGAGGATGACCACCAGCAGGGTCTTCATCTCCTGCATGGCATACTTTTGGCCTATAAATGTAGACAAGTTGGGATTATGGGATCTCGAATATTGAATATATTCCCTTACCAATGCAATTCCTTTGACCAGCACTGAATGGTATATAGGCGTAGGTGTGACGATTCTGGCTATTCTCAGGCAGGAAACGCTCTGGCCGGAATTCGTTGGGGGAATCCCAGTATTTGGTATTACGATGGATATCAAAGACATGCAAGGTGATCTGTGAGCCCTTGGGCAGAACCAGACCATTGGCCAGCTCTGTATCCTGGACAGCTTCACGACCCATGATGGGAACGGAGGGAAACAGGCGAACGGTCTCCTTCATAAAGTAATCTAGGTGTTTTAATTTGTTCAGCTGACCAATATCCAAGTTGCTCAAGTCATCTGAAACAGATTTAAGATTGGAGATTGACTCTTAATAAAATGTGTTGGCAATTAACCTGCTATGTGCTCCTGGATCTCCTGGTAACATTCCTCCTGCTTGTCGGTGTAAAGACCCATGTTCATCAGTCCAAAGATGAGACCAATCGAGGTGGTATCGTATCCCTCGAACATGAGAGTGTCCACCTCCTCGCAAATGCCAATGTGATCGATGAGACCATCCTTTTCAGCATGTATCAAGGTGTCCAGCATGGCAAAGCGCTTCTTGGTGGTAAATCTAAAGTAGGTAAAATATTAAATAAAGGAACTAGCTCCCAAGTTATTTAGTCCAACTTACACATCATCATCATTCGACTGCGTAGTTTGTTGTCTTTCCAGTTCATCCTTAAGTAAGACCCTTCGCTTGGCAATGATCTCGCTGGAGAAGCCATGAACCACATCCAAGGCTGTGACATATTCCTTCGCAGCTAGCAAGTTGAAGAGTCTGTCTCCCCAGAAGAAGGGGTTACTCAAACGTCTAATAAAGGATTCTTCTATTTGGCTGAAATTCTCCCGGTAACGATCACCTTTCTCGGCCATTTCATCAAGTTTAACACCCATGGCCGTCTCTGAAGTTAAATATAATCATTAAGATACCAAATATTATTCATTTATCTCACAATTACCGCAAATGCTGTTCAGCGTAAATCTGGGAATGATATCATTCAGAATAATAGTAGCCTCATCTTTGCCTTTAAATTGCTCCAGGAACTTTTGACTCTCCGTTCTTAGGGAAGTAAATTAGTAATTAATATTTTTATATATATTTTTATCAATAAGAAACTCACTTGAAGATTTCTTGGAACTGATTCAATATATTAAAATGGAACGTGGGGGTAAGCATCTTCCTACGGGCATGTCATTTCTTGCCTAGAAACATTAATGTTTTATATAGATTGGGGGGTTTAATACCTTACCAAACTTACCTGTGGAAGTCAACAAGCCTGTCCTTAGGAAAGGTTGCAGAAAGTTGTAGACTAATCCCTTGGTGATAAGGTTCGGATGATTCATTATATTTTCTGCAACTTCCGCATCAATTACGTTATAAATAGGCGTACCCATGCCATATTCAACGTAGCTTTCCTTCATTTCCCTGGCACGATTCCGAGAGTGATTGAAGACACCGGCTGAGTGTTTGATAGATTAAATGAAAAAAAACAGTATCAAACATGAGTTTTACATGAGATAAGCCATGTCAAACCAAAGTACGATGATAACGCACCATGATCAGAACCGTACAAGTCCAGGGTATTGCCAAAGATAGTTTTTCCCGGGGCAACGGGAGAAATGCTCTCTACAGGACGGCCATCCTTTGTCCACAGCCTCTTGGTAAAGAAGGCCATGACATAGTAGTCCTTGTTGAGCCTGTAGAGCCAGTGCAACAGCACGCTCCCAGCCACGACCAGGATTAAGAAAAACATTTTTACTGTGCGTCCGGAATCGTCGACATTCAAAACCAAACTGATTGCAGTGCTCGAACTGGCTGCTACTATCAGCCGGTTTCATTCACTTTTAATAACACCAGACTAACAGCAATTAGATTAGATAAGATAGAAATATGTATGATACATGTATGCAAGTAGATCATGTTCACGGTTGAGTTTACATTACATATATAATGTTTTATAGCAAAGATTGATTTACATTAAACTGGTTTCAATGTAAACAATATTTCTATTCTGAGATTGATATATATAATTTTTGTGCGCCATTTATTTTGTTTACATTTTTTGAATTTGTATACGCTTCTATTCATATCTTATGATAGATTCATATCTATATGTATTTCCAAAAGATATATACAATTTGTTTTTGCTCTGTCATGGTTGAGGGGCATATTTTTGAGTGCAATACAGCTTTGCCAGTCACTGGACTTTAAAGATTATAAATGAATAATCAGTGTATTTGAGGCTTTTTATTTTGTCATGATGACAAGAACAATATTTTGAAACTCAAAGGTTTAGTAGTTGCCTGTAAAATCAGAAAATAAGTGGGTTTAAGAGACATTTACACAGTGTTACTAGATAAATATCAATTCAAACATTATACTATTTAAAAAGGATTTTATAAAAAGAGTAGACAAATTCTTGAAAAATATCAATCACCAAGTTAATCTAGCTATGCGGTTTTATCTTATAAACTTAATATTTTCAAATATATATAAATTTTATAGTATTTATATACGATTTAAAATTTATCAGGCTTGATTTTTACTGGGTATTTCAATTTTAGTCAGAAGCTTGTAATCATGTGAAGGAGTCATTGCCGACCCTATAAATCATATATATTCTTGATCAGCATTACGAGCCAAATCGTTCTAGCTTTGTCCGGACAAAATCTATTTTTTTCAAAATTTTGAAAATTTTATAAGGGGTTACATCATTAAAATTGTCAAAAATTGATAAAAATTCGAATTTTTTAAAATTTGATATTTAGTATGCAGATGTATTAACCTAACAAAAACTAGCATAGAGCCGCTTTCCGAATTGAAATTAATGATTTTTTGGCTCAGTTATGAGTTTTTTAAATTTTGGTTTGTCCTTATTTAAGCTTTCTTGTGATGGACTTAAGATACGATTCTATAATTCAATTGCAAACTGCAAAGTTATATTAACATTTCCGAATATAGGTTCCTCTCTTGTTTAAATATATATTTGTATAATATATATTGTAATCAAAAACTATGTATGTTTATTGTTTATTTATGTCCCTGACCTACCGTACTTCTGAATGCTAATATTATAAGCAAGCCTTCGCTACATATACATATATATACATATGTAAATATTGGCTATATTTTATCAGTATTGGGTTCTATTTACATATGTCCGATTAAACAAATAAATTTTGTATATATGACAAAGAATATTGCTGCCAGTGAAAACTATATTATTTAATTAATATTAAGATAAACAAAGTAAGTTTTTGCGAGCTCCACAGCTGGCAAAAAATATATACCCGCCAAAGAGTATGCTAACAATAAGACGACTTCTATGTATTAATATATGTATATTTATTTATTTGTATATAAGTATATGTTCTCTTTTAAGAAGTAAACAAAACACAGTTCAATCTGATGAAATCTGTACACTAAAAATGCAATTAATAATTGCTACTAATGATTTCAATATGAATATGAATATATTTCACAATGCTAAGAAAAAGCATGGCAAGTCCAAAGTACTTAATCTAAATTGGCACTTGTATTTATACTATATATATAATCTCCTTAAATCGATGGGATATACAAATCACATCCGCCTCACGAGCTTGACCTTTATTGTGTCCTTGAAGCGCAGGGTTATGCCTGTTTGAAAGACAACGGACTTGGGATCGATAACTGGCAGAATCCTGAACTGCTTGAGGATGACCACCAGCAGGGTCTTCATCTCCTGCATGGCATACTTTTGGCCTATAATTGTAGAGGTTGAAGATGAATTTCTGATGGGATATGGGATATAGTATATTTTCCCTTACCGATGCAGTTTCTTTGACCAGCACTGAATGGAATGTAGGCGTACGTGTGCCTGTTCTGACAGTTCTCGGGCAGGAATCTCTCGGGACGAAATTCATCGGGGGAATCCCAGTACTTGGGATTGCGATGGATGTCATAGACATGTATATTAATTTGAGAACCCTTGGGCAGGATAAGGCCATTGTCCAGTTCCGTCTCCTCAATAGTTTGACGTCCCATAATGGGTATAGAAGGATACAGGCGCATGGTCTCCTTTATAAAGTATTCCAGGTGTCTCAGTCTATTTAGCTGACCCATGTTCAGGTTGCTCAAGTCATCTGCAAAGAAGCTCTATATTAATCTATATATTTTGTATGATTTTAAGGTCTTACCTTCTATATTCTCCTGAATTTCCTGATAGCATAGCTCCTGCTGTTCAGCATAAGCAGACATATTCAGCAGACTAAAGACCAGGCCTATACAGGTGGTATCAAAGCCCTCGGCCATCAAAGTGTCCACCTCCTCACAGATGCCTATATGATCAATGAGACCATCTTTCTCTGCACAAATCAAGGTGTCCAGCATGGCAAAGCGCTTCTTTCTGATCACACACCTGTTGTATGAGCATTCAAATTAATAGTACTTTAATTACTAGATCAATGTTACTCACATATCATCATCCGCCGTCTGGGTAGCCCTTCTGTATTCCAGCTCCTCCTCTAGGAGCACGCGTCTCTTGGCTATAATCTCACTGGAGAAGTCATGGACCACCTTAAGGGCTGATTCATATTCCCGGGCTGCAAATAGGTTGTACACACAGTCGTCCCAGAAAAGAGGATTAATTATGCGCCGGATGAAGCTCTCATCAATCTTGAGGAAGTTTTCCCTGTAACGATCGCCCTTCTCGGCCATTTCATCCAATTTAATGCCCATTGCAGTTTCTATTGGGTTTAAATGAACAAATGTTAAATGATTCTTAAAAAGACATTTTAATATAATTACCACAAATGCTGTTCAGGGTGAATCTATCCAGGCGATCTTTCAGCGAGACAGTGCACTCATTTTGGCCTTCAAACTGGGCAACGAACTTCAGGCTTTCCGCTCTATAATGCCAAGTAATTATTGTTAATTACATAGTAATATAAGTAGTGCGTTTTAATACCCACACAAAGATCTCTTGGAACTGGTTCAGTATATCGTAGTGAAAGGTTCTCGTCAGCATATTCCTTCGTTTGTGCCATTTCTTTTCTGTCAGGTAAACAGATGAGCAAATAACATGGAAATTGTAAGGATTCCCTACTCACCTGTGGCCGTCAATACCCCCTGTCTGAGGAATGGATGCAGAAAGTTATAGATGGCACTCTTGCTTATCAGGTTCGGATGATTCAGTATATTGCCTGCATTGTGGGCATCGATAATGTTGTAAGTGGACCAACCCATGGCATACTGAAGATAGCTCTCGCGACAGTCGCTGGCCTGCCTTCGAAGGTGACTAAAAACTCCGGCTAAAAGCAATAAGTCGGTAATATGAGTATTTAAGATAATAAACCCAACCTAATGTCATGGGTTCAGACTAGCTAAATTGCTCACCGGCATCTTTGCCAAACAAATCGAAGCTATTGGCGAATATGGTGCGACCTTTGGGCATGGGCAGCACACTCTCCAGGGGCCGGCCATCCTTGGTCCTCACTCTCCTGGCAAAGGCAGCCAGTATGTAGTAGTCTTTGTTTACTTTGTAGATCCAATGGACGAGCACACTTAGGGCCACCGATAGCCACAGCAACCAGATCATCGTTACTATATATACTCTGTAATTGCCGCTCAAGAACTGGATCCGAGCGACTCACTCTGAATACTGCTCGACGGAGGGTTTTTCGTTCCACGCTAGATTTTCTTTATCAACCAACCGGTTTCGTTTTAAAACACCACACACGATCCCCAGCCATAACTGATTAGATTTTATTCTGGACATAGGTATATATATATATTCGGTTATCGTATGTTTGTTTGTTCGCTCAGCTGGCGTCGATTTTGGGTCACGTTCAGCCACTTGAATTGTGTTTTTAATCGATGTTTCTGGGGTTAATAGTTGAAATTGTGAGAACTAGAGGGGGTAAGTGTTGGTAGAAAATTAATATAACTAGTTTTATAGCATATAATATAGCATATAATATATATTTTAAAGTTAGAGTTATGTATTTTCTTAGAATTTTCGTTTAAACTATTTTCCTGCAGTTTAAGCTTCTGGAAAAATATATACTTTTATAGTAATAATATATAAATAGGTCTTCAAGTCATAATTTTAGTTCTCAACAGAATTAAAGCCTTGCTTTCAATATTTTTAAAGATTTTTAAAAGTATTGCCAGGCTCCTTTGGTGTTAAGAAACACTTTACAATGTCTCTTAAATATTTATTTCTAGAGAAAATGAATCTTGTTGTTGTAATTAATCTATAAACTACATTTTCCATTAAATATCTAAATGCACTTGACTTGTTAACAGACCTTATGTCATTACATTGAAAAGGGGAAACAACCTTTTCCCCTCTGTTACATCTTTATTGCAATCAACAGTTGCAATCAACTAAGTGCTGGGATGCTCCTTGGTCCTGACACATTTTTCCTTTGCCATTTTTGCATCGACAGCTAATTGGCAATGGGATTTCATCAATTACAAGGAATGCAGTAATTCCATTCGCCAGTGCTATATTATATATCACTCGACCTACTTTCTGACAAAGTACATGACACATTACGGAACAAAAAGAGGTATACAAAAAGGGAGAGGAAGAGCAGGACCAGGACCAGGACTCGAAAGCGAGAGTTCTGAGCTGGAGCAACTTGAGGCTGCCTTCGGCGATTACGAAAAGCTAACTGGAGATGGAAATGGCGGAAAATGCAGTCAGTCATGGCTGCGAATCTGACAGAAACTTCTCCGAGACCCATTCTCTGTTTCAGGTCGAGCGGGCAGGACTGCTCCGGCTGCCTCTCATGTAAAATTGAAACTTGAACTGTGCGTTTGTCCTACGACCTTTCTCTGGCATTCCCTGCATCCTTTCTGCCAGGATGAAGGATGGAGGAGTGGTGTGCCCCTGCTCTCCTTGATTACTTGCCATGCCATGCCAAATGCATATTGGAAATTTGCAATTTCGATGGCACTCGAAAAGTCGGAGAGGAAAGTTCACCGAGCCGGGGCCAAGTTATTAAATTAGATCACATATGAAATATTTATGGCAAGAGTTCCCAAGTTGCTCCATCGACTGGCTTGGCTTGAAATTGCATTACCTTCAGCCAAGCCGCAATCTTTGGTGGATAAGTTTATACAATCACTGAGAAGAATTGGTTGAAGTTGTGTAAATAAAGTCTTAAATCAAAGATGTTATAGTTGAAATATAGAAACTTGTCTCTTCTTAAGTAATGTTTTTGCCTGGGAAAGGTTTTTGTTTTTTGCTCTAATTAATCTCAACTTGTCCTAGAAATATCTCAAATTAAATTATAAAAAATCATAAACCTTCAACCTTTCTTATAAATAAGCTTAAATTTTCTCGCAGTGCTTATATTTTTCGGTTTCCATTATCCCATTTCCAGATGCCTCGCCGGGCTGTCGGGCGCCGGATGTGCGCTTCACGATTGTCAAACCGGAAGCCACCACTGAGCAGCCGTTGGCCAAGTTTGAGACGACACAGGTCTACCTGCAGGAGGATTTCACCACGGCGGATGTGGAGTTCATCGATTCGGTGCCCCGCCATCCCAGTGAGAATCATGCGGCCGTAATCAATCCGTATTCGTTGGACCTGGGCGATGACCATCTGCATGTGGGCGATGCCGCAGCCAGTTTGGTGGGTGATGATGACCTGGGCGATGAGGATGAGGAGAACCATGACGAGACCAATCCCGACAAGCGTCTGAATAATAACCGCAAGCAGGGCAAGCGTCGTCGTTCGGGTTCCGGACGCCGCCGGCGGATTGAGAATGATAATGGACAGACGGGACGGGGTCGTGGCAGTCGATACAAGCGCCATGCCATCCTCCATGATGCCGAAGCCTCACCGGATACGGATCGCTGGGCGGGCAGCAAGCTGGCCGCCGAGGGTGATGTCTACTATGTGCATATAGCTGATATCCTGAAGAGTCGGGAACCCAATCGGGAGCTAAAGTCCAAGCTGCACAAGCTCAAGATGAAGGCCAGGATGAACAAGTGTCTGAAGGATGGGGACAAGGAGAAGTGCATGAAACTGTTGCAGAAGAAGCCCAAGAAGAAGAAGGTGCCCAGGCAGGAGGATGCTCTCAAGAAGGAGAAGAAGCTGCCTAGAGAGGAGAAGAAACTAACCAAGGAGCTTCCCAAGGACGAAGTCGAGAAGGAGGAGGTGGACCAACCGCAGGAGTCTGGACATCACCGTCGACGCGGCGACAGTCACGCTGCAGAGCTCGACCAGCGTGACTTGAGCCCGCGTTGGCGTCAACGCCGCAGCACCGAGTCCAAGGGCGATCTCGGCCAGCTGCCGGAGATTGGACCACAGCTGCCCTCCGAGGAGGAGCTGCTCCAGCAATACGGAAATCAGTCGAGCAGTGCACGAGTGGCCCTGTTGTGGCAACGTGTTAAGCGCAAGTCGGGCAAGACCACGGGTGCACTGAGCCGTCCGAAGGGTGGTGGCGACTCTAGCTCCAAGACCACCAGTCGCAAGGATAAGGGTAAGTGTGCGTCCGCACGGCGGCCAGACACTGGCAATGCCACAGTGCCCAATTCCTACGACGGACTTTTAGCCGCTGTCGCTGTCTCGTTGTCTGTCTGTCCGTCCGTGTCGCGCCTCCCCCGGACACACACCGGAGTGTTGCGGATTTCCCCCTCCGGAATGCCCTTGCAAAGGTCGTGATGTTGCAGTATCTATATACATATGCTCCTCTGTTGTCCGATATCTGTAGCAGCGAAACTAAGGGTTGTTAGAGACTAAAAATTAATGAATATATTTTGTATTGAACATCTGAAAGTGTTAAGAGTCCTTAACGGATTGATTTTCTTATACTATTTACCTCTTTGATACATATTTCTTTTGTATATAAACCCTTTTATATAGATGTAAACCTAGCAAACCCTTGAAAACTGAACTATAACCTTACCTTTACCTAGTGATTTTAGCTCTACATCTTGCTTTCAAGCTCTTGTATATATATATCTATAAAGTTGCTAAATTTGGCTCTATTTTGAAACCGCTTTTGCAAGGGCATTTAAACACATGAACACACACCTGAACCACATATACACACACTCCACACACACACACCAACACCTACACCTGAACATAAACGGAAGTTTGAGAGCCGAGAACACACACCGAACATACTCGTAAAAGCTAATCGCAGTCACAGCCAAAGCCACAGCCATCGCATAGCATCCCAGCCATATAGCTCATCCCCCTAGTACCAAGTTCACACCTGCACCAGGCACCAGGCACCTGTACTAACCCCGTGTGACCCCCAAGACCGTACTTTGCACCCCCCTTCGTCCTTGGGCTTTTCATTACTCCAACGCCGCCATGGCGTGGTCATGGTTTATTTGGCTGTCCATATCTTTGTCGTGGTCGGCGGGAAGTTCAGAGGGTTCGGAGAACCGCTCTTTGTTGGCGGTTGGCGGAGGGCCCTTTGTTATGGCCGGAATGATTTTCCTTTTGCCGCCTTTGTTTGCCTAGGAGCCGAGCTCCTACAATGGCTTCGCCTTTGTCCGTAACCGTAGCTATATCCGTCTCCGTCTCCGTTTCCAGCTTCAGCTCTAGCTCCGGCTCCAGCTCCTTCATCCTTACTCCCTTTTTTTCTTTCCATTTTCTATTAAGCAGCCCCCATTTCTGGCATAATATTATCTTTCGTGTTATCTTTGCCTTTTCACATCTTCCCCTCTCTCCCTCAGAGTTTTTATTTTTTGATGATGGGTCTGGTGGAAAATGAAGCTGTATCCTGTTAAGTGGCCACTTCGCCAGCCTTCTGGTTTTCTTTTAATGCATATCCAAGCACTTGAAGCTTTCCGCTGGCAGCACTTTTCGCACGTCCCTTGGCTTTCAATGGGGACTAATGTGGCTGCTCAAGGGATGGGCTTTTTCCGGTCTCAATTCAAAGTCGAGTTTTGGGTCAACACCAAGGAATTGCACTTCATGGCAGGCATAGTTCTTCATCATCATCATCATCTTATCCTCATCCACATCCACATCCACATACTCATTTCATTCGCATGCCGCTTGTCGGCTCATTAGATGCTTGCTCTATTTGCTCAACTCCCCCCTCTGAACGTCTATCTACCCCACCCCTGTTTCTTGGCATGGTACATTGCCCATCTCACGACGCCCACACCTTCTGCTCTTCTCGTCCCGGTTCGCTTATCCAGGTATCTATGACGAGGACTCTGGCTACACGCCCATCCATCCCGATGATGCCGAATTCGATGAGGATGAGGAGGAGGACGAGGAGGTGGACATTTTGCAGCAGTTCACCGAAGTCTCCGAGATCCGTTTCCCGGGCGAAATTGGACCCATGGGCGATCGACGTCTGTGCAAGATCCGTTGCGTCAAGGGCAAGTGGGTGGGTCCACTTTGTGCCACCAACGAGGAGGGTAAGTGAGCTCCGCTCCAACGCACACACAGCTCACACACTCCACGACAATAGCACATACACAGATACTTAGTTGCAGATACATATGTAGCTCCAGTTACCGTTCCAGATACAGATACACTTAAGTCACACACACACACACACACACATGAAAACAAGCTGCAAATTCATTTGTACGTCATACGCAAATAAAGCCAACTCAATCAGCGCACAATGGAACAAAAGGACACACAATCAGATTGTTGTTTCATTTTAATCCACTTATTGTTTTCATCAATTAAAAGTACACAGGAAAGAATAAGAACATTATCCCATTAAAAGCTGTGATTAAGTGCTAAA